GGCGCTCCACGTTGACAATGTCGCGCCCTCGACGGCGCATGTCCGAAGATGGTTCAATCAAGTAGTTTACAGGGGAAGTGCGTTCGACGACATGGTAGGGGCCTTCGTATTTGGCCAATAGTTTTGAAGATAGGCCAGTTGCAGTGGTAGAGCGGCAGTTTCGGCGTATCGCAGGAGGTGGTCCACAGCGACAATGGACCAGCAATTACCAGCCGACGTTAGTGGAAGTGGCCCATACAAATCGATGCCAACGAGCCCAAACGGCCTGGCAGGGCAAGGTAGAGGTTGCAGACCTACCGGCGACAGGTGAGTTGAAGTTTTGCGGCGCTGACAATCTATGCAGGAGCGAACGAATTGCTGCACGTAGGCGTACAAGCCGCAGCAAAAGTACCGTTGGTGAATGCGGTGGTAAGTCTTCGATACCCCGGAGTGCGCTCATTGCGGATCAGAATGAAAGGATTTGCATATGTCAGAGCGCAGACTGCGGGGTATAACCAGTAGCCACTGGCGGCCGTCACCGTTGTAATTGCGTCGGTAAAGGAAGTCGTCGCGAACGGCGAAATAGTGGGCTTGACGACGCAACGCGCGAGTGGATGGATCAGTCAGCAAGTCTATCAGTGAGGCAATTCATTGATCCTTGCGCTGTTGAGTAGCAATGGCATGAATGCTAATGGAAGAAATGGCAAGGTGAGACGCTGAGTTGTGGGCATTGTCGTCAGGCAAGGGAGAGCGCGACAGGGCGTTGGCATCAGCATGTTGCCTTCCGCTGCGGTACAGCACACGGATGTCGTAGTCGCGCAGGCGAAGTGCCCGCCGGGCGAGACGGCCTGAGGGATCTTTCAGCGATGACAACCAGCATAGTGCGTGATTATCGGTGACGACATCAAATGGGCGACCATACAAATAAGGTCAGAACTTTGTAAGGGCCCAGACGATTGCCAGAGATTCTTTCTCAGTGACGGTGTAATTAGACTCGGATTTTGTAAGCGTACGACTTGCATATGCCACGACATATTCCGGGAACCCTGGTTTGCACTGCGCAAGGACAGCGCCGAGGCCAACACCACTGGCGTTCGTCTGTACCTCTGTAGGGGCCTTAGGGTCATAGTGGCGGAGTATGGGAGGCGACGTCAACAAATGACGGAGCGTTGTGAATGCATCGTCGCACTGTGATGACCATGAATGGAGAGGCCTGTTACTTCTGAGAAGCTTCGTCAGCGGCGATATGATAGTCGCAAAGTTTCGAATGAAGTGCCGAAAGTAGGAACACAGCCCTACAAAACTGCGCAGTTCCTTGACGGATGTCGGCTTGGGGAACTCGGCCACGGCCCGAAGCTTAGCTGGATCAGGGAGAATTCCATCCTTGGACACGACAAAGCCGAGTATTGTCAGCTGCCGAGCTGCAAATCGGCACTTCTTTAGGTTCAGTTGCAGACTGGCGTCACTCAGACGCGTTAAAACATGCCATAGGCGTTGAAGATGCGTCGAGAAGTCCGGAGCGAAAACGACGACGTCATCGAGGTAGCACAGGCACGTGTGCCATTTCAGGTCACGCAGAACGGTATCCACCATGCTTGGTGGCGGGCGGATTGCACAGCCCAAACGGCATGACGAATTCGTATAAGCCGTCGGGGGTGACAAAAGCGGTCTTCGGTCGAGCGTCCTCAGCCATAGGTACTTGCCAGTACCCTGAGCGCAAATCGAGGGATGAAAAGAATTTGGCTTCTTGCAGGCTGTCAATAGCATCATCTACCCGCGGTAATGGGTACACGTCCTTACAAGTGATCTTGTTGAGGCGTCGGTAGTCCATACAGAACCGCACAGAACCGTCTTTCTTCGTGACGAGGACGACAGGAGACACCCAGGGGCTGTTAGAGGGTCGAATAACATCGCGGCGAAGCATGTCGTCGACTTGTTCATTGATTACACGGCATTCTGTGGGAGATACGCGATACGGACATTGCCGTAGTGGTGGTTGTGCACCTGTGTCGATGCGATGCGTAGCGGTGGATGTGCGACCGAGAGAAGGTTGAGCGACATCGAAAGAAGAGCGGAATTCTTCCAACAGGCCGAGAAGCTGGGAACGCTGTACCGGCATAAGATTATCGGGAATAGAGAGACCGAATACATCAGCGGATGATGAAGCAGATGTAGAAACAGCACTAAGCATACTGGAACTTCCGCAGTGCGTGTCATCGGGTTGATCCATGACCTGTGCGTCTTCGATGGGTTCCACGCTGCCGAGACATTCCCCTCGCACCAACGTAACACTGTACGGGGATGAGTTCAGAACAAAAATAGTGGTGCTGCCGTGAGTGACTTGCACGGTCGCAAAAGGAACCAGCAAGCCTTTTCTGGTGAAAACACGACGAGATGGCGAGAGGAGTGCAGCGGTGTCGGAAAGACTTGCGGAGTAGACCGACACCGCCACGGACGAGTTTGCACGCACTTGCGTGTCGTCGCTGACGAGTAACTTGCTTGCAGCAGATGGACTGTCGGCCGGCGTCAAAGAGAATTGTGTGAGCTCTATTTCTGCTGGTGCGCAATGAATGACGGCGTCGTAGCATGAGAGAAAATCCCATCCTAGGATGACGCCGTGAGAGCATGAATTATGATGAATTCGACGGCATACATCACGTGCTGAATCATGAGGCGGGCTGTGCACATCGCTGTAGGGTGAATGCTTTGGGCGCTGGCTGTACGGAGGGAGAGCCCGGAAAGTGGCGTGGTCACTTTGCGCATTAATCGGCTAAGTTTTGCGTCCATGACGGATACGGCGGCTCCAGTATCTACAAGGGCAGATGCATAGCAGGCGGCACTCGGGGCACGTGGATGACGTCGGCATACGTGGGGGGCACAGTTTCTTCGAAGGCCTGGGGCCTGGCGATGGTTTTGGTGTAACCAAGGGGGCCAGTCAAAGGAATCGGTGGGGGCGGCCTGGCAACAACTGGGCATAGCTGAGTGGCGCAGATACGGGAGGCGGCTGGTCGTATTCAGGAACGACCTCCGCGATTTCTTGCTGAATGGCTGGGCGGAGGGCTGGCAGAAGGGTGCTTGACGGCTGTTGAGCATGTTGCAGGGAAGCAAAAGCCAGTAAAGAGACCTGGCGGGCAACTTCCTCACGCACGAATGACTTGATTTCGGCGAGCAAGGTTGTGTGGTCAGGAACTGTTGAAGACGATAGTCTTTCTTGGGGTACTTCGACGCAAAAATTATCGTCTGTCTGTCTTTCTGTCTGTTTGTGCATAGTTTGTTATGGTATTAAAGACGATCGTCTTTCTTGGAGTACTTGGAGCTACAAATTACTGTAAAAAACTCGCAAACAAAACTTTGGCTGTCAGGGGCCCTTAAAAACTTACTCGGGTAAAATGCTACATTCTCACACTTATTTAAAATACATTTGTTTCCTTATCTGTAGATAGCTGAAAGAAAATCTGTCTAGGCAATGCTGCTTGCTTTATAAATATAGCAATTAAATAAAGTTTACAACTTGTAAAAATATTTCTGAATTCACTAACAAATGCATTATACATGTAAGAATTGAACAAAAGAGGTTTGCAGTGCTACATCATGTCTGGTGAACCTGACATGCCACTATGTATTAAAACATGGCATTGTGCGTACAGTTCTAAGCCATTCAAAATAACAACTACAATCTGTGGTGTCCTCATTTCAAATCTGTGATTGCTCTTAACAGCACCTGGTACATATGGTAGGAGGTATGACACAAATGTCTATTCAGGAGCTCATTATAAGCAATGGAAAACAAAACATTTCCACACAATGAACTCAATCTCACAAACACTGCACATGAAGACAAAAAACGTGAAGTGATTGCAAGAAAGGAAAAATTTAGATGCTAGCACGTGGCTTCATTTAGGAATGTTTTTACCCTCTCAAACCACAAGGATGTTAGTATCTCCTTCTAACATTTATTTTTAGCAGTACTAGTGCTACGTCTCGCTTTGCTGTCATTTAAGACTTATTGTTGCCTGGTTGACTGAATTTCTGCCTAATTGGCTTATTTTTTAGTTGCAATTAGTTTCATTGGATCTTTTAGCAAATTTATGCAGCCTGTTTTAAGTGGCCTGCTTAAACTACTGTATGTATTTACATGTCATGATAATTGACTTAAAAGCCGCGCCGCGGTAGTCTAGTGGCTAGGATACTCGGCTGCTGACCCGCAGGTCCCGGGATTGAATCCCAGCTGCAATGACTGCATTTTCGATGGAGGCGAAAATGCTGTATGCCTGTGTGCTCAGATTTGGGTGCACGTTAAAGAACCCCTGGTGGTTGAAATTTCCGGAGTCCTCCACTACGGCGTCTCTCATAATCACGTGGCGGTTTTGGGACGTTAAGCCTCACATACCAATCAATCAGTAATTGACTTAAAAAAAAAACAATGAATAATCTTAAGGTTTATTTAATGACTCCTGACTGCAAAAATCTCCACTAAAGCAGTGGTGTCGTGGAAAGCGCAGTTGTCAAATCTAGGTCCCATGCACGGTAAAGAATGAAACGATGCGAGCGCTTCAATATGTTAAGCCTGTTAAGTGCTTGTGCCCTCAGAAAAAAAGAAAATCATTTCTGGTCTAAGCAGCCAGAACCAGTTGCCTGACAACAAAGAGAGAGAGGAGAGTAACAATAGCCCTTGCGAGGTGCCACTCATGGTATTATTTGTGTGGGCCTCTATATATGTCATGCCAGTGGCAATGTTGCGTGATGTGGCCAACTGAGATGAACACCCACGCTTACTTAGAAACCAAATTGAAATATCTTGCAGCTAACATCCGCCATAAATAACTAGCCGGAAGTGCCCACGTACAGAAGACAACACAAATATCCTGTTTCAATTTTGGTGTCGGGGGGGTCTTTTGAGAATGGACAGTAGTGGTGAAATGTAGGTGGAAACGAAAGATGAGAGAAAAATCTTTGGTTAGCAGTGCGCCTTTGGCTACTGCACAGCAGCAATGGCATGAGCAAGCACACACACTGGTGGCCACTAGTGTGAACAAAGACTGCTTGTGATATCGCCTTTAATAAATTTGTGTAGTCACTGTGTAGCATCTGCTACTTCCATGTCAACTACAGTCGAGGTGGCTGCCACTCTTCAACGCAAAAGGGAAGCAGTAGCTGCTGAAACAGACAGGAACAATACAATAGATTTTGTAATCTGAATTGGCTGTAGTCAACTTGGTGGCTGCAACGACACTACATTAGAGTGCTCCATCCATCGTGGGCAGTTTCTGTATACTATAACCAACATGATGGAAAGTCATAAATGCTTGAAAAGAAAATGGCACGATTTCAGAGAACCTTTCAGAAGGTTGACAAGAAGGCTACCGGAGTGTGTTTCTCGTGTGCCTTATTCATTCAGAAGACAATGGAAAGTATATACACAACCGGACCGAAAATTCCAAATAGTTGCTCAAAAGGTGGTTTCAAGTGATATGAAGTGCATTTTGTTCAAAAAAAGCTAAGTAACAGCAGTAAGGAGGATGAAGCAAAAGTACCTAACAATTCATTTCACTTAATTTCCTGCCCATCATGCAATACATGTTTACATTACATCTCTGATTAACCAGTGGCTGTGTAACATCGTGGATGTAATCAATATCTTCCAGATTGTGGATTTTCAAAAGTAAATGATTGTAGTTACAAAAACAAACACACTCTGTGCCCCAAGACACAATGTCAGAGGGCAAGGAAGGGCAGAGGAGTGAAAAGGCATGGCCCGACTGTGAAGCACTATGCGAGAGAGCAGGCAAAAAGGTGCTCACGAGGTGCACTCCTTGGCGTGTCTCTCGAGGTGCTTCTTGAGGTGCTGTCGCAACACAAATCGCTGTCCGCACACCTCGCAGCCGTAATTGCGCACGCCTGTGTGTACAAGATGGTGTCTGTTCAGATTACACTTGAGGTTAAACTTTCGGCCACAGATGGTGCAGGCGAATTCCTTCGGTGGTTGTGCTGGAGTGGTTGACACCTGTCGCGTGGCCACAACTAGGACGTCTGTGACAGGAGTGGAATTCAAGATTGTCGATGATGACAAGGACTGCCCGTTGGTGGCACCGGTCAAGAAGTAGTTGATGGAAGGGACTGTGCATTGAGCAAACAAATTGACAAATGAGACTTTCTGTGCAAGTAAAGTGCAGGTTTACTATGATGCACTTGAACACCAAAAAAAAATTTTTGCATAGGCATTGCTTGTTGGTAATGAGCACACATGTAAAATCCTTGAAGCAAACTGCAATTAGCTAAGTACTCAGAAAGTACATTATGGTACAAAACTAGAACAAACAAGATGAAGATTCAACATTGTTGAGTCAATGAGGGCACCGAGTGCTTCTATTGAAATAATAATACGTCACATAAACCAGCAAGTTGTACTCACAAAAGTGAACACGTTTAAATAAGAACTGCTGCAGGTACAATAAGCATGTCACTGTACCTCAACAGGGTTTTGCTTTCTTTAAAATTGGTAGACGACATTTAATTGCATTGTAATAAGCCAGTATGACACCGCCAGAAGAAGTGAGCAAATGATCGCCAGCACTTACCGCTGTAAAATGGAAATTCTTGCTTGGGCAAGGCTTGATTGACTACGCCTACGCCTGCATTCCCTGTGTAAAACACATGCACAGCAACAGACAATGAATGCGAGATTTAAAAAAAATAAGAAAAAAGCAAAAGATGAAGGCCAATTTCAGAGACACTAAAGTGAGAAGTGACTTGTATCAGTTAATCACCTTACCACAATATCAAAAACACCCCTCCAGCCGCAAGAATGATATTGGCAAGCTTAAAAGGTCATGTGAAAAAAATATGGCTGGTGACGATGCTGTATCATACTGTCCCGACTCCATAAAGTTTATTGGCGCCTACTGAAGAGTTTGTTATCATTAATATTACTTACATTCAGTTTTGACAAAGTCAAAAATTAGTATGGCGAGTTTTAGAAACTTTTATTATGTCAAATGTGCCAAAATAAGAAAATGTGCTTTGAAATGCGTGATGTTGCACTGACATAGTGATGCAGGGGTGTTGGTACAAAAATAAGGGGAAATGCTGACTACAGTTCCCCATTAAGATAAGAAACCCATTTATTAGTGAAAGTGTTTTTTAAAGGACTAACGTGCCATACTAAACGAATAATGTTCATTTTAGTGCAACTTTTCAGGTAAAATAAGAAATGGTGACAGAAACAAATTTCTCAAAGCATTCTTCTTCTTATTTTTTTGAAATGCCATCATTCTAGTGGCTCTGCTGAAGGTAAGTGCTGACTTTACTACAAGTACTATAACTTGTGCAACACAAAGTGTGCAGCTCAACCTCAAGCAGGAATCATAACCTGACAAGAACAGTATAGAAAGAGAGGCCATAGTGAAATCCAGTTATATTTACAATAGCAAATATTAACTTGCACATTATAAGGATTGCTTGATGGCATGTAACAAGATTGAATATTCTGTGGCAATGCATTTCACACTTGCACATTCAAAGCCTGATATGACACTTAAATATTGTTCTACTGCAGCACCCTGTTGACACAAAAGCACTGACCACAACAATGCGATCTGCTCAGATTTGGGTGCACGTTAAAGAACCCCAGGTGGTCGAATTTCATGGGCCTTCCACTACGGCGTCTCTCATAATCATATGGTGGTTTAGGGACGTCAAACCCCACATATCATCATATCATATCAACGACAGCGCAATGCCGGAAATACAGTCTTTTCTTTACAACATTCCTATTATGCTTTGGTGAATCGTAAAAATTCACCAACACAGAGTTGCTACATAAAAGGGAGTTGTGGTTCATTAAGTAAGTGGAAATGATGAACGTAAACAAACACTGAGAAAGGCAAACATTAATTTAGCTACAAGCATGATAGAAACACATTACAATTACACTGAGACACAGGGTGTCAGCAGGTGCAAGCAACTGTAGACTACGGTAGCAACTGTAGGCCAGTAGTGGTGCAGGCCTCTCGTAATTGACATTTGTAAGTGCACGATGAAAACAGGATGAAAACAGTGGCAAACTGCCAACATAGTGAAAACGTGAGATGCATGTCTCCACATCGCAGGCTTGTGCAAAGGAAATCCATTGTGAAACCGTTGGCATATTTCAAAACATGCCAAGTGTCTGAACGCAGTTGCTCACATGTGGGATGTTATTAAAGGTGTTCCATGGAATTAGGCATGCATTTGGGCACAGTGGTTAGTACATAAGAATTTTTATACTAGAGGCCCTTTCCCTTTTGTCTTTGTCATTTCTTTTGAGCCCCAACTTTCAGCTTTGCACATGTCAGCGGCTTAAAGTAAATGACTAAACGGACAATTTTTTTCGAAGTGAACAGTCTTATTGCTAATCAAATACAAAAAATGTTGCAAACAATGTAATGAACCCATTGTGCACATTGTACAAATTACAACATTGTGACACTGTACACGTGAAGTACGTGAATATACAACAGTCAGCACATAGAACATGTGAACAAAGAAAGGTTGGGTTTGAGAAGAAAACACGAAGACAGACCTTCGTGATAGTGAATGATGAAACAAACAAAAGCCAATGTAGTGTGATAATAAAATCAGATCAGCACAATAAAATTATTATTTCTTAAACACACCCAAGAAGACAATGGATGGTTTACTTGCAATACTCAGTCATGTCAGAAATTGAAAAGAGAAAAGACGCACATACGTTGTAAGAGAGATTCTCTAGCCAAGTTCACTATCTGAAAAGGTTTTCTGTTTGAAATGTTACAGCAAACCTGTGATGCAAATAAGAACTGTCTGGCTGAACCACTTTCAGCATATGACAACTGAACAATTATTCTTGAAAAATAAAGAGGGGTTAAGGACTGTCATTTATGTTATGCTTTTAGTCTAGCAGTCAAAAACCTTCCAATGAACTAAGCTGATGAAAGGCAACATTTATGCTTTAGCGTTTCGCATGCTTTATCAGTGCAATTTTATGTGCATTTACTCAGAGACAGCACACTTTTGAATATAACTTGGCTTTCATAGCTGCGAAAACAGACTTGCAGGTAAAGAAGCCCTCCTGCTTAACAAATGCTTTTGTTTGTTGCTGTTCTGATGACAATTTTGCTGTAATGCAAAACTCACTTCTAATGATCCACAGATGAGTAAAAGATGGTGAAATGTAGTGATGGCAAGACAAAATGTCCCAATGCACTGTTGCATGTTAGTGCAACACATTTCTTCCACTACTATATTTTATTGCCAAGGTATTCAAATCTTGTTCAAAGAATGTAATGCACCAAATGCAAACTAAGGAAAAAAATGGCCTGAACATACATAGATGATGTGTGCAATCAGTGAGACTAGAGCAGCGATACATCTATTGGCTAGATGCCAGGTCCAAATTATTTATTTTATTACACCTCTTACAATGTTCCAATCAGTTCCACAGGTGCATTGAAATATGCACTGGTTGTATGACATTACTCAAAAGCCTTGCTAACGTATACAGGGGCACAGGTGCTAACCAACGTATGGCAAGTATCCTACCACACATTCTAAGAATGACATGCGAAAACTCAGGCATTCAATACAGATGTACACATGTTCAAATCTGGCCAGCTTCAACCTTACATTGCATGTGTGCCAAAGTTAAAAAGGAACTGATAAAAGTCTTTTTATAAATAGTTATTCTGTTAGCAGCGACTGTAGCTTTAGATGGGCCCTGATGCATATAATGAATTCAGTATAGCAAAGGATGTGCTAAATGGAGTTCCATTGCAATAGCTGTGCTATGCACAGGTTGAAAAACACATGTTAGGACAAATTAAAAAATAGTAGACGCCTGGTACCATAGCAAGCCGTTGAGTAATGCTGCTGGAGCCATTATTCTTACAAGGGGTCTCTGCCTTGACAAAAACAAATCTCTTTGGTCTTTCCCAGGGACAATGCAGATTTGACAATTACTAATCACATTCAGAAAATGAGCACATCTTACATTTTGATGTTCTGCATTCAACTCGACGTTTTTTCATAGGTATGACAAGATAACACACTCAACAAAACTGCCTGTTTATCCATACTGCATGGCTTTCAAGTGTCAAGTGTAGCTTGACACTTGACATATGGCACTATCACAGACACTGGCTTGTCATTGAGAGCACGAGGGGTGCAGCTCTGTCACCAACAAGCGCGAGGTGAAGGTAACACCGACATGCACCCAACACTGCACAGTCTTCTGGTGTCTTCAGGTGACAAGCATTCTTCAGCCTTGAATGGTCACACCAGCCCTCCTTTTCTCATATGGCCTTCAATTAAAAGATGCACAGCTCGGAGGTGACCTTCGAGATGATGCTTGTGCACAAACCTCCGGCCACATAATGAGCACACGAAGGGCCTCTCTCCAGTGTGAGTGCGTTCGTGCTTCCGAAGGTTGCTCGTGCTGCTGTACGTCTTATTGCAAACTGAACAAGTTCTGTTGTTAATCGTTGCTTTTGGCGGTAGCTCTTGTTGCGCAGGTCCGTGAGGGGAGGCTGCATGTGAGAAACAATGTTGTTATGGTTAATGCACATGTTGGCTGGAAAGTATTCCTACTCTTCCTTTAGTGCGAGATTTTTTACCAGTAAATATGTTAACAACCAATTCAACAACTTATTTTTGTTACGGTAACTTGTGATTACATTTATGCATTTATGGTGTTCTGTCTCTCTTGTCTGGAACATAAGGCATGCATACAACCGATTTTATGAACACTGCTCGCCAAAATTATGCTCAGAAACATTTTATCAAGCTTCTCGGCAGAAGAGAACAAAGTATGCCTGCTCGAAATAGCCTCCGTAATCATGAGTTGCAATTTGTCCCCCGAGTTACTCAGCAATGCTATGTCATCGGCGAAGCGCTGGTTACTAAGGTACTCTCCATTAACTCTTATCCCTAACTGTTCCCATTCTAGGCTTCTGAAAACCTCCTGTAAGCATGCGGTAAATAGCATTGGGGAGCATGAGTGTACGCAAGCTGGTGATTCACCATTAGGAAAGGCAACCCCAATCTACACAAGACCCAGACAGAGACAATGCCGCTTCCTGTTGTTTTTTTCCGCTATGTGCTGCATCTCTCTAACCTGTGTGGCTTGGTGGTTACCTTAGCTAATTGCAGACACCAGCAGTGGCAAAGAGGGAAATAGTGTCTGCTTTGTTGGAGAGGCCCATCTCTCGGACGCATCGAAACAGAATGGTTTAATTTCTTGCAATTCCTCTAATAATAAACTGACTCGGAAAAAGTATTCAAGAGGAGGAGGAATAAATGAGGAACGACAGGGAGGTTAAAAAAAGTATTCAAGAACTTTTTTAAATGGCACTTGACCGATTCCAATACTAATAAAAACTCTCAATGGGAACTTGTGAAGTGGCCTTTCAGTGTGACAAGGGCTGTGTACTCGTCAGAACAGCCTAGAGGATGGTGAAAACAGCATTGCTTTTTGTTTACTGGTCAATGCCCTTGCGTATGTTGCTGAATTCACATCCTTATAAAGTGCCAACCTATTGCTATATAAAAAAAAAAACAAATACATTTAGAATTTTTATGCTTTTTTGCTACGAGCATCTGTATTATCAGTCACTTCCTAGTTTCGACTTCCTTCTACGGCACTTAATTTTCAAGCCTATTCAGTGCATCTCATAGGTACTCCTTGTGATTAATTTATAGCTGTACATGATCGCACTTAGTGCTATCTGGGTTATCATTGTGTTTATCAGTGATGATTTAGCTAAACAGCTTTGTAATTTACCAATTTACTGTCATGTCTTCTTGCCTAAGAGGTGACAGTGAGTTATTTCAACTGGTTTCACTATAAAGACTATGCACATTAAGCTCACTATTTAAAACAAATCCTTAAGCGTATGCCAACTACATGACTTTACTTTAAGTACATGTGTTAGGGCAATACTATATCTAGAGTAGCATTCAAATAAATGCAGTAAGGCACTTCCTTTTTACAAATATGAAAGTTGAAATTGTACATGCATCAGTTAAGCTCTTAACATTAAATGCACACTCCTCATGATAAGTTCATTATGAAACTTTAAAAAGCAAACATTTAAAGCACCGTGTTCAAGTTTATATAGCATCCCAGCATAACATAATGGCACTCAAATGGTTTTCTTGAATACTGGTTCATTGATAGTTGTGCCAGAAGGCAAGTATGAAACCATAACTTGTGACAGTTTACTTTTTGCCACACATAGTCGCAGTAATTTCTCATAATAACGAAGTCATTGGCTAAATTGTAAACCTTGTCAGAAGTTTTGACGATTGAAAAATTGAGTGAAGTTAAATGTCAACATATGTTAGTGGAAGCACTTCAACTATGTACGGGGCGTTTCAGGTAGGCAATGAAAGGAATGCATGCAACACGACAGCTTTCTGAGGTGCCCTACAATGGTGAAAATATCACTTTGATGTCTTTCATTGGGTGCAATTTGTATTTGTAGGCACATCTCAGCAATTTCAAGTTGTCACAGTTTACCTCATATACCTCAAAAAGGCTATTTAATTTTTTCCTTCACACTAAGCTAAGACCAAACTAATAATTTCATGATCATCCAATGGGAAAACAACTTAGGAATAAATCAAATATATTTATTATTTTATAGTAATCACAGGACGAAATTAAATGCAAGTGGTTAAAGACTGCTGAATCACTTTCGTAAGCGATTAAGGACCTATGCTGACGAATACGGTTGCTTTCCATTCTGGCAAGCATCATACACGGGCAAGTTTTGAACTAGCAATATGGGGAATATAGTTATCTCCCACTCGAGTTTCATGAAACCCTACTTTGCATGTTTTAAGCAACAGGCGACTACTTTTCGGATGTCAAGAATACCTAAATAAACAACTAGTTAGCTTTAATGCTAACTAGTTGTTTCAATTCAAACACTTCCAATAATGCAGACCTCCACACGCAGCACA